CCTGCTGCTATTGGCCCAAGTATTATCTGTAGAAGTAAGTATATTAAGCAGAGAGTATTTTTATCTTTGAAAATGATGTTTTATTGCTACAGGTCTTTTTTAGTAAATGGTAAAAGTGTCCTTAAGCTTGACCAAAATCTTAAGGTATATTTTCTCACATTTGAATATAACTCTTAGTTTTTCCATATGCCTGTAGCCCTAACACTACAAATGGTAAAAATGTAATGAATGTGTGCAAGAGAGACTTTCTGATTCTTCTTGCCGTGGGCGGAATTAGTTAATGATATTCATTCCGATGCAGGATGGTACAAATGGGGCATATTAAGAGGCTTAAATTAGGTCAGATTGAATAATTGAATTTATTCCTTTACTTAAAAACAGCTTAATCAGCTCAGAGTGCTGAACTCTAAAAAAAGTTTAATTAAATATTAATAGAAAGTTTATGTTTTCAACTTTATCTTCATTTACAATGATTATATGTTATTTTCCTCCTTTGTTACCTTTTATAGATAGTTGGAGGTGAAGTTCGGCCCTTCTCACTTGATGAAGAATTTGATTATGACGCTGTGATGCTAACCCCCAAGTTCACTCCTGCAGAGATAGATGCCATCAAAGACCTATGCAAGCAAAAGAGAAAGAGCACAGACTTAGAGAAACCCCGGGACTGATCCACCAAGACATCTTCATGTTTATTTTTATTTTGTTCTTATTCGAGCAACATTAGAATAAAATATATACCTACTATAATCCCTTTGTGGAAATTTGTGTGTGCGTTGATTTATCAGAGTTATTTGTCAGTAGGGAGATGAGACTATAAAGACCAAAGAGCCCTCTACCCTTACAGAGTTCTCTTCTGTCACATGGCTGCATCCATGGCTGGTAGGGGGAGATGGAGATAGCAAATGGGGACAGGAAGCAGTGCCTACAGAAGGGTCCATCTGATGAGAGCGTGGAAACTAGGTAATGTGGGGTATTGTAACAAAGACTGGAAATTTCATCCCGCCTCCTTGGGGAGGAAGGGCAATTGAACATGCAAAACACAAAGAACTGACTATGTGATAAGTCACTGGTCTCAGCTATCCAGAGATAGTGGTATGAATGTGAGTGCTGAGAGGTTGGGCTTCTAGGATTGATTGGGAAAAGACTTTACTGAAAAAGAAAGCGTCTGAGAATTGATTATATGTCATATATTAAATTCTTGCACTTTGTTATTGCTGTTCAGCCATGTGTGAGGAAAGTTACAAAGTACAAGGAATGATCTCTATATCCAGAAGTTTACAGTATCATTTGAGAAGGCAAGGCATGGATAGAGAAGACAACTAGAGGATGTAAAAACTATTAGGAAGTGCTAATTGTGTAAAATACCCACGAATGCTTTAAAGGGAGGAGAAAAAGTGGTGAAGGCACAGACGAAGGGGGAATAGTATGTATGAAGTAATTTTTATCATTGAAGGAATCAGTAACAAATCAAATGTACTTAGTCTTTTTTTTCTTTGTATATATTTTATTTCTGTTTTTTCTTTTCCATTATGGTTTATTATAGGATATTGAATATAGTTCCCTGTGCTATATAGTAGGACCTTGCTTATCCATTCTATATATCAGGGGTCCCCAACCCCTGGGCCATGGACCAGTATCCATCTGTGGCCTGTTAGGATCCGGGCCGCACAGCAGGAAGTGAGCAGTGGGCAGGTGAGCAAGCAAAGCTTCATCTGTATTTACAGCCGCTCCCCATCGCTTGCATTATCGCCTGAGCTCTGCCTCCTCAGATCAGCGGCGGCATTAGATTCTCATAGTAGCGCGAACCCTACTGTGAACTGCACACGCGAGGGGTCTAGGTTGTGAGCTCCTTATGAGAATCTAATGCCTGATGATCTGGGGTGGAGCTGAGGCGGTGATGCCAGCACTGGGGAGCAGCTGCAAATACAGATTATCATTAGCAGAGAGGTTTGACTGCACAGAGACCATAATAAATCAATTGCTTGCAGACTCATATCAAAACCCTATCAGTGAGTGGCAAGTGAAAACGAGCTCAGGGCTCCCACTGATTCTGCATTATGGTGAGTTGTATAATTATTTCCTTATATATTACAATGTAATAATAGCAGAAATAAAGTGCACAATAAATGTAATGTGCTTGAATCATCCCCAAACCATCCCCTCCCATCCTAGTCTGTGGAAAAATTGTCTTCCACGAAACTGGTCCCTGGTGCCAAAAATGTTGGGGACTGCTGCTGTATATAATAGTTTGCATCTGCTAATCCCAAACTCCCCATCCATTCCTCCCCTGCCCCCCCCCACACCCTGGCAACCACAAGTCTGTTGTCTATGTCTGTGAGTCTGTTTCCTAGATAAGTTCATTTGTGTCATATATTAGATTCCACATATAAGTGATATCATATGGTTATTTGTCTTTCTCTTTCTGACTTGGTTCACTTAGTATGATAATCTCTAGGTCCATCCATGTTGCCGCAAATGAATTACTTCATTCTTTTTTATGGCTGAGTAGTATTCCATTATATATATATTAATACGTAAACTAACCCTAAAGCGTTGTTGTATATATATATATGTACCATATCTTCTTTATTCATCTGTTGATAGACATTTAGGCTGTTTTCATATCTTGGCTATTGTCAATGGTGTTGCTGAGAACATTGCGATGCATGTATCCTTTTGAATTATAATTTTGTCTAGATATATGCCCAGGAGTGGGATTTCAGGATCATATGGCAACTCTATTTTTCGTTTTTTGAGGAACCACCATACGGTTTTCCATACCAGCTGCACCAATTTCAAATGTACTTAGTCTTAATTAGTTTTCATACAGGCCTGTGCTTGTGTGTGTGTATATATTCATAAAAACTGCCATTTATATTCTTTACAAAAAACGCTCTTGATTTAATATTGCTGGAGTCCGGTGATTTCCACATCTATTTTTCTTTGTCTAGTCAAAAGACTTTCACAAAACACCATTTATGTGCCAAGCCTATGCTAGGCAATGGGGAGGATACAAGTAAATTAGACATGGTCTGACATAGTGGGGAAGACAAATGTATAAACAAATAATTATGGTAGAGCTGCACTGTCCAACATCATAGCCACTAGCCACTAGTGTGACTGAGGAACTGATTTTTAAATGTTAATTTTATTTTCATTTAAAATATAAAGATATCTGATGCACTTATTATAAAACTCTCAAGTCCATTTGGAACAACTTGGGTATGTGAATCTACTTTTTCAGTTGTAAATTTTATGACATCTAAATACAGATCATTTATTTTTGATGACAACTTAGTGTCTAAAATATGCTATAAATGTAAAATGCTCATTGGATTTCAAAGAATTAATATGAAAAATTACAGACTCTTGTTTTTGTATTGATTACATGTTGAAATGATAATATTTTGGGTCTATCTGGTTAAATAAAATATATTATTAAAAATTACCAATTTCTTTTTACCTTTTTAATGAGGCTACTAGAACATTTAAAATTACACATGTGGCTTGTGTATTTTTATTTGACAGCACTGCAGTAGAGTGTAATCAGTTTTGTAAGAGTAATGTGTACTAAGAGGTACTGGGCAAAGCAAGTTGGAGTTATTGAATTATGCCTTGGAGAGCTGGAGAATCTTCAAAGAGGTGACATTTGAGGCTGGCCAGGAAGAATCAGTAGGACTTTTTTGATTGGAGGCTATTAGAATAGTTTGTGTGGGAGATAAGAGCCAGAATTAAGGCAGTGTAAGTGGATGTGGAAAGTATGGATTTGATTAGAGATTTGGAGGTAGAGCTAGCAAGGATTTTTGATTGATGCAATGAGGGGACAAGGGAGCAGCTGTGAGGTTAAAACAAGATTTTAGCATGCAGTCTATACACACATGCTGACTTGAGGAGACAACTGCATTGTGACATAATTGTTCATAAGACCAGAGGATCTCTTTTGACTCGATATATATACACATAGCATTTTGGTATTTTAGATGAAGAAAGACTTCACCATTTTAAAGACATCCCAATTCTATGTACTTAAATAGTTTTATAATAGAAGAAACAAAACTAAGTATCCAAAGAGAATTACACTTTGGCGGAGTATTCCATTAACTAGGCAGGGTAGATGGCAGGTGAACGTTACTGTAGAGCATTCTATCTGTAGAGTTGGTGTATTATTGGCTTCATTCCTTTCGGAAATTTTTTTAAAATAAATTTAAGTAATTTATTTATTTTTGGGTGCATTGGGTCTTCATTGCGGTGTGCAGGCTTCTCATTGCGGTGGCTTCTCTTGTGGAGCACAGGCTTTAGGTGCGTGGGCTTCAGTAGTTGTGGCATGTGTGCTCAGTAGCTGTGGCTCGTGGGCTCTAGAGCGTAGGCTCTGTAGTTGTGGTGCACAGGCTTAGTTGCTCCGCGGCATGTGGCATGTTCCCGGACCAGGGCTCAAACCCGTGTCCCCTGCATTGGCAGGCAGATTCTTCATCACTGTGCCACCAGGGAAGTCCCCACCTTTGGAAATTTTTGATTCCTACATTATTTGGGGCAGTTGTGCATTACAGCAAAAGTGACACTGGAAAATGGGTCCCTTAAGGCCTTTGAATGAAATAGTTTTGTCTCAACTGTACCATTACTCTTCCCCTAACTAGCAAATACTCCTCTATGACTTTCAGCTTTATGGGTCCCTTGAATCGATGTGAATGGTTTATTTTACGTTGGTTGGCAAACCCTAACCAAGTGCCTTTAGAAGAAGCCTGAGCTTGTATTCATAGATAATGCTTACCCGGATTAGGTAGTGGCATTGAGGATAAGAAAGAGTGGAAGATAAGGAGAAGCTCCTACATGTATACACCAAAATGGGAGGGAAGAAAAAAAGAGTATCTTGAAATAATGTAGCAGTTACAACACAAACAAACTTGAATGGAGAAAATTTCACTCCAAGCCTGCAGTACGAGCCCTAGCTTGTTCAGTGTGGTGGCAACACCAAGCAATCTTATTCCTTCAGCATTCCATCTTATGGGGAGTTTTGCACAAGAAGGAGAAAAAATACTTAGACCCCATATTGAACTTCCTTGATTCCTTCATCAAGAAATTTCTTTTCCCTTGAATGAGATAGAGCTGTATCCTCATTTAAAAGAATAAATTTTCCTTATGTGCTAGGTAATTGTATGGATGAATTAAAATATGAAAAAGACAAACAAAAAATTTTCATTTCATTGGCTTGTTCCTTGGAGGTCGAAGGTACCTGAGTACAATAGCATGGGAAATGACATGAAAGAGACAATCTTAGAATTTCCTAGAAAAATATTTCTCCATATGTGGAAGAGAAATCGATACTTTTCACCCTGGCCTACCCAGCCCTTACACCCTATGGCCCTACTTACCTCTCCAATCTCATCCTGTACCTTCTTCCTCATTTTTTATTATGTTCTAACCAGTTCATATTCTTTTTTTTTTTTCAAGCACTCCACCTTGTTTCCACCTTAGGACCTTTGCTCTCACTCTTCTTTCTGATTGGTCTTCCCAAGTCTTGGTGTAGCTGGGTCCTTCTCATTATTCAGGTCTCAGGTGAAATGTGTCTCCCCAGTCTCTCTCTTGACCACCTTATCTAATCCCGTTCTTACAACCTTCACTCCATCCCGGTTTATCCCATTATCTTACCTTGTCTGTGTCCTATCTGACTCTCCCGTTAGATCATAAACTGCAAGAGGGCATGGACCTCCTCTGTCTTTTTATTGCTGTGTCCCCAACACCTGTAAAGGACCTGCA